ATATTTTGTGAGGCATCCGAGGATGATAAGAGCTACCAGGCTTCGCCATTTGATATAGAACCTACATGTTAAGATTGGCGCTCCGTTCTTCCCCAAGAAAAGTGTTTTCGCGGTGTGGTGCGTTTCGTTCAGTTGGATCCAACCAGGTCCAGGCACACTTTCAGCCAAACTTGTGTGATCACAGAGTGCCATTCAGCAAGACGTGGGCGTCGCCTGTTTGGCCGCCCTCCACACAGAAGGTTTTCCTGATGAAAAAGAGAGTGGCCCCGGCGATGTTCTTGCTTTTCCTCATGAACCATCGACGTTTTTCCCCCAAACAACTTCCTCTTATTTGCCTCCCAGTTCTCTCCCAGTTCTTTTCATTTGTCTCCCAGGCTGGGTGCTTGTGGTCGGGTTCCCGGCTGGCTTGTCTCCCACTTCCTCTCATTTGTCTCCCATTTCTTTTCATTTGTCTCCCAGGTCACTTCCTTTCATTTGTCTCCCACTCCTTTTGACTTGTCTCCCAGTTCTTTTCACTTGTCTCCCAGGCTGGGTGAATGTGGTCGGGTTCCCGGCTGGCTTGTCTCCCACTTCCTTTCATTTGTCTCCCAGGCTGGATGCTTGTGGTCGGGTTCCCGGCTGGCTTGTTTCCCACTTCCTTTCATTTGTCTCCCAGTGTCTTTTCATTTGTCTCCCAGGCAACTTCCTTTCATTTGTCTCCCACTTCCTTTCAATTGTCTCCCACTTCTTTTCATTTGTCTCCCAGTTCTTTTCATTTGTCTCCAAGTTCTTTTCATTTGTCTCCCAGGCTGGGTGCTTGTGGTCGGGTTCCCGGCTGGCTTGTCTCCCACTTCTTTTCATTTGTCTCCCAGTTTTTTTCATTTGTCTCCCAGGCCACTTCCCACTCCTTTTGGCTTGTCTCCCAGTCCCGGCCGGCTTGTCTCCCACTTCCTTTCATTTGTCTCCCACTTCTTTTCATTTGTTTCCCAGGCTGGGTGCTTGTGGTCGCTTCTTTTCTGCTTGTGGTCGGGTTCCCGGCCGGCTTGTCTCCCACTTCCTTTCATTTGTCCCCCACTTCTTTTAATTTGTCTTCCAGGCTCGGTGCTTGTGGTCGGGTTCCCGGCTGGCTTGTCTCCCACTTCCTTTCATTTGTCTCCCACTTCTTTTCTGCTTGTGGTCGGGTTCCCGGCCGGCTTGTCTCCCACTTCCTCTTATTTGTCTCCCACTTCTTTTCATTTGTCTCCCACTTCTTTTCATTTGTCTCCCAGGCTGGGTGCTTGTGGTCGGGTTCCCGGCCGGCTTAAAGAATGGTCGCCTTGGTGCTGGATGGTCTGGTCGGGTTCCCGGCCGGCTTGTCTCCCACTTTCTTTCATTTGTCTCCCAGTTCTTTTCATTTGTCTCCCAGGCTGGGTGCTTGTGGTCGGGTTCCCGGCTGGCTTGTCTCCCACTTCCTTCCAGTTCTTTTCATTTGTCTCCCACTCCTTTTGACTTGTCTCCCAGTTCTTTTCTTGATATTCATTTGTCTGCCACATCTGTCACTGCTGGTGTCCGCCCTTTTCCACTGGCCATGTAGCATTTCTATTCATTTGTCTGCCAGGTCTGTCACTGCTGGTGTCCGCCCCTTTCTGCTGGCCATGTAGCATTTCTATTCGTTTGTCTCCCAGCCTGCACTGCTGGTGCCTGCCCTTTTCCGCTGGTGATGTAGCATTCCTGTTCATCTCCCAGGTCTGTCACTGGTGGTGTCCGCCCTTGTACGCTGGCCATGTAGCATTTCTCTATTCATTTGTCTCCCAGGTCTGTCACTGGCGTTGTCCGCCCTTTTCCGTTGGCCATGCAGCATTTCTATTCATTTGTCTCCCAGGTCTGTCACTGCTGGTGTCCGCCCTTTTCCGCTGGCGATGCAACATTTCTTTTTGTCTGTCTCCCAGGTCTGTCACTGGTGGTGTCCGCCCTTTTCCCATTTGTCTCCCATGTCTGTCACTTCTAATTTCCGCCCTTTTCCGCTGGCCATGCAGCATGTCTATTCATTTGTCCCCCAGGCTTGTCACTGGTGGTGTCCGCCCTTTTCCGCTGTTTCTATTCATTTGTCTCCCAGGTCTGTCACTGCCAGTGTCCGCCCTTTTCCGCTGGCCATGCAGCATTTCTCTTCATCTCCCAGGTCACTGCTGGTGTCCGCCCTTGTCCGTTGGCCATGCAGCATTTCTATTCATGTGTCTCCCAGGTCTGTCACTGGTGGTGTCCGCCCTGGTGTGTCCTTGTCTATTGGCCATGAAGCATTTCTATTCATTTGTCTCCCAGGTCCGTCACTGCTGGTGCCATGTAGCATTTCTATTCATTTGTCTTTCAGGTCTGTCACTAGTGGTGTCCGCCCTTTTCCGCTGGGCATGCAGCATTTCTATTCATTTGTTTCCCGGGTCTGTCACTGGTGCTGCCGCCCTGTTCCGCTGTTTCTATTCATTTGTCTCCCATGTCTGTCACTGCTAATTTCCGCCCTTTTCCGCTGGCCATGCAGCATTTCTATTCATTTGTCCCCCAGGCTTGTCACTGGTGGTGTCCGCCCTTTTCCGCTGTTTCTACTCATTTGTCTCCCAGGTCTGTCACTGCTGGTTTCCGCCCTTTTCCGTTGGCCATGTAGCATTTCTATTCATTTGTTTCCCAGGTCTGTCGCTGCCAGTGTCCGCCCTTTTCCGCTGGCCATGCGGCATTTCTATTCATCTCCCAGGTCTGTCACTGCTGGTGTCCGCCCTTGTCCGTTGGCCATGCAGCATTTCTATTCATGTGTCTCCCAGGCCTGTCACTGGTGGTGTCCGCCCTTTGCCGCTGGCCATGTAGCATTTCTATTCTTTTGTCTCCCAGGTCTGTCACTGGTGTGTCCTTGTCTATTGGCCATGAAGCATTTCTATTCTTGTCCCCCAGGTCCGTCACTGCTGGTGCCATGTAGCATTTCTATTCATTTGTCTTTCAGGTCTGTCACTGGTGGTGTCCGCCCTTGTCCGTTGGCCATGAAGCATTTCTATTCAATTGTTTTTCAGTTCCGTTACTGCTGGTGTCCGCCCTTTTCCGTTGGCCATGTAGCATTTCTATTCATTTGTCTCCCAGGCCCGTCACTGCTGGTGTCCGCCTCCGCCCTTTTCGTCGGCCATGCAGCATTTCTATTCATTTGTCTCCCAGGTCTGTCACTGCTGGTGTCTGGCCTTTTCCGCTGGTGATGCAACATTTCTATTCATTTGTTTTCCAGGTCTGTCGCTGCTGGTGTCCGCCCTTTTCCGCTGGGCATGCAGCATTTCTATTCATTTGTCTCCCATGTGATTTCTTTCTTTTTGTCTTTCAGGTTTGGTGCCTGCACTGCTCTTTTCTGCCCCTGGAACAGGTTCGCCTGTGAAAGGTTCTTGCTCCTTTGCAAGGGGTGCGTGACTGTCTCCGGGATTGCATTCCTGCCACACTGTGTAACCGTCTCAGCTTTGTTTTCCTTTTCGGGCAAGCGTTGGATGAATGACTGGATTGGATTTCGGCGGCGTGGCAGCGACCTCTCTGTTCAGTTGGGGCGGAGGGCATACGTCAGGCACCAAAAATCAATTTCATGTCACATCCTTCGCTCCTCATGCTTTTGTTTCTTGTCCTCACGTGGTCAGCTCCCCGCTGACTGAGCAGCATGACCAGCATCATGTGCGCGCTTGAAGAATAATTCCCCAAAAGGTTTACTGTTAGGGCTTCTCAATTCTTTCTTAAGATGTGTCCGCCCGCTCTGTACTGCTGAGTCCGTCTCTGCCTTGCAATCCTTTACATTTGTCTCCCAGCTCTGGACGTCGCAAGCTCTAGTTTCGATTTTGAAAAACACAAACTGTTTGGGGTCTGCGGTGGTGTAGTTTGGCTTTGGGGATTACGTTGCTCCGCATGCTTGGGTTATTGGAAGCGATTGTGTTTTGCTGCAGTTTGAGGCCCAAAACTGTATTCAAATTAGGCACGGGGTGAAGCAAATGGTTCTGAAAACCCGGCCGCAACGTTTTTAAGGACTTTATTGGAAAAGGTTGCTTAAGGTATGGTTTTTCATTTGGTTGTGCTTATCGGCGTTTCTTTTTGAAACTTGGAATGCCACACGGGCAAGTCTGTGAAGTGAGACCCGGGCGGCCATTGCATCGCCCTTCTGCCAAACTCACTCCCGCATAAGAATGGATGGACCCGACAGGTGTCGGGCACTTTGGGAAAAGAAACCTGGGCAAAGCAGCCGAGGCCACAATATTATCTTGTTTTTTCCAACTGGGAGGGCCAGACCTTCCCCCGAGTCGAGCAGCTTTCTCATACCGACCCGCCCCCGATGGCGGACGCCCCACTTTCGCGGCCCTGGCTGCGGCTGGTGGCACTGCTGCCGGTGCTGGTGGCGCTGGGCAGTGGGGCCGTCTGGGTGGGCACGTGGCGGTCTGGCGTGCAATCTGCCACAGGCGCCCGGGTGCCGGGCGCCGGGCGTGGGGCGCTGTGGGGGAACTGCGGTCCCAGCTCGACTGGCCGGAGTGGCCTTGGGTGTTGCGCGAGTTCACGGTAAACGCGGTCAATGAGACATGCCAAAGAAGGCCAACATCCTAATTTGTGTTCATGCATGTTTGATGGATGTGAAAACTCAACCAAGTCGGCGTGTGAAACGGTATCACAAGTCCCAGTGAATTTCACCGCTACTGATTTGAGAGTTTTGCGCTTAGTGGTGCAACAAAAGAAGTGGCATGCTTGACGGCACTTCGTTTGGAGACCGTCCGGTTGGTCCCCCCTCAAGAGCAGCCGCGCAGCACTCGCTCAGCACTGCCAAGAACGGTCAACCGGGACGTTAGGAATGCACGTTAGGCATCCACTGCAGCCCGTTGATGACATGACATCAAGAACTTGCAAATCTCATCCGAAAATGGACATGCAGAGCCAGGTCCCAGGTCCCAGGCCCTTCTGTTCTCCCAGGTCCCAGGCCCTTCTCCTGGGTTTTCCTTTGCACCCCATTCGCTCTCCCGCCAGGCTCCTCGGTCCGCCGCCGGGCGGTCATGGACCGGCCGCCCACCGAGACGGCGCCGCCCGTGACGGAGCCGCCGGTGGCGGCGCCGCGGCGGAGCGAGTGGTTGGAGTGCCTCATCCAACACGAGCTGCGCGCCGGGCCGGAGAAGAAGCACGCGGAGGCGGCAAGGGTCCGGTGCGTCGCGGAGAGGATGGAGAGCGCGCGGATATAGTGCGCGGTGCGGGGGACTGTGGTGGTGCGTGGAGTTAGGGCGGTGGGTGTGTGGTGTGGGGTGGGGGGATGGTGATGGAGTTATGAGGGCAATCGGGAGTGGGAGTTGCGGGATGCAGGGCATGGGAGCGGTGGGGGCCGACGAAGAGTTGGAGGAGGATTTGTGGTTTCGGGGAGGGCACAAGTTAAGAGGATGGCCAGACCACGTGGCTTCGCCCGCGACACCGGGCGACAGCTGGAGGGTGTTGTGAAAGCTGGACGGTCGTCATCCGTGCCGCAACGGGTGAGCATCAACTGCGACGCAGCAACGGGTAGCCGCATTTGGAAGTCAGACACGAACAGGCTCCGTGCTACCGGTCACCACCAGCCATCCACCATAGACACCTGGGAGTCCAGTCGATGTTGTTGAAGATTGTCGGATACTCGGTGGTCCGAGTTAGGCATGTTCTTTATGTTAGGTGGACTTCCAGGGTATGTCATATATCGATCTACATACAGAATACATGTAGACACACCCATCCATACATCTCCAGGTGCTTCCTCGGAAGGTGTTTTGGACACTCCAAAACCACCCCATCCCAGTCCCACCGGGACTGAACCGTTGGGAGCGTTTTGGTCCAGTCCCGCCCCACCGGTCGGCCGCGCGGTTCGGGCCGTTGAACGGGCGCCGTTCGACCAGGTTTGGGTCCTGCGGCGGCCGCACATCAACTTCTTCCGGCGTTTGTTGACCCTGCGGGGCTTCTGGGTTCGCCGGCCCCAACTGGTTGTTGGTGGTCGCAGGGGAATGGAAGGGGGTCGAATTGGTGGAAGGGCAGGGCGGTGGGGGCACGCGGAAGCGGGTGAAGCCAGCAGAAGTGGGTTCACGGTTGGGTTGTAGTTATTTTTCTCAGAGCAGGTGGGTTTGAAGATGAGGGATGGCTGGTTCATGGCCCTTTTGAACTGAGTCCTTCTTGGTTCTGGAGCATACCCGCCTGTCACAGCCTTTTCGGAATTTGGTGTCTCACACAAACGCTAACATATAACTGGGGTCTGTCCATGTCTGTCCTATTACCTGTGACAGTAACCGTCAGTAAACAGTTATCACAATTTTTGGGCAAGGCCTTTACTAACCATCATAATCCACTGTTGCAGGTAATAGGACAGACCCAACATATAACTACAGTTCAACGCTGGATGAAAGTCGTGGTGTTGCAAGAGCAGGATGAAAGCAGTGAAGGTGAGGGGGAAGTCAACGCGACAGGCATACAGAACTGGTCGGAATTGCTAAGACACACTGTTTCAGGGCAAATGCCAGTCTGCAGCGTTTCCAGTCCTGACTGTCAGCCGGGGCTAGTGCTTCCCAACACTCTGAAGCGTTCCAAATCTGTTGCAATTCAGTGGTTATGGAGTTGAAAACTGAGTTATTCCTGACGGATCTCTTCAAAACCGTGCCAATCCTCGCCGGAAGCCGCTGTTCATGGCCTGATTCCCACAGTTTTGCCCTGCTGCCATGTTGTGGCAGGAGCTGCTGAGAAGCTAATGACATAGGGTTCCAGGCGCAAGCAGCTTCATGCCGCAGAGAAGGAATGGGAGAGTGATCAGATTGGCTAACGAGTTTGCCTGGTGGCTGTTGGAAGCAGAGCCCGGTGAATATAGCAGAGCAGAGCTACAAGATCTCTGGCAGGATTTCTGTGAAGAACAAAATGCAGCCACTGCGGGCTTTGCCACCGTGCTTTACTTTCTGAAGATTTGGTTGGTAATCAAATCGCTCCGCAAACAACACTTTTTCCAGCTGGTGCAGCCTACTCAGACCAGGACATGGAAAAACGCATGCGCCTGGACTGCGAAAAAAGGGGAAGTTGTGAAGCGTTGTGAAGCTCAAAGCAAATACCACATAGACGTGAAGTAGAGTCAAAGGTTTCAAAAGTGTAGTTGGTGCATGCTGGTGCCAGTAAATATCACGACATGTGCGCACATATGTAAATGTTTGTCTTCTACAGGTCCAAATCCCGCTCAGGCCCTGGAGAGCTGGAGGGCAGTTTGGAGGGTCAGAAGCCAGCTATGCCAATGATCTTTGCTCGCTTCTTGAGCCCGACTGAGCTGCCAGGGCACTTCAAGAGATTGAAGCCGGATCTTCGCGTAGTAGGTTGTTGTGGAGGGACTGTTTTGATTTTTGTTCAGGCATTTTTTGTTGATAGAGCCCCAACGACCACCTTTTCACTTCTCGAGGTTTGTGTCACCAGGACCCACGTGATCCTTTCCAAGTGGCATCAGAAAATGCTGAAGTGACGCTTCCTGGTATGTTATGCTAACTTCCTGCCCCTTCCGGAAGAGAAGCCAGACCCAAGAATGAGAGTGCACCCTTCCTCAAGTGCACCCCGCTGCCAGGAAACAAAGCCGCCTGTTCGAGATGCGCATGAAGCTGAAGCAGCTCCTAGATGCATGGAGGGTGCCTTGCCTGAAACCCTCGGAAGATGGGACGCTGGTGCTGTTGGAGGCGGATCTGCAGCGGTGGCCCAAATTCTTCAGCAGCTTGCTGTTTGCAGAGGAACTCCAGATGAGCTTCGACATTGCTGTCTATGACATGTATGTTAAGGAGCCTTTGCCGCGAACCTTTGCCGTAGGTGTTGCCCAACTGTTCACCTTAGAGGTTCCGGGAGTGGCGGAGAAGCGTCCCTCGGTTCTGCGGGGAGATGCGGTGCTGGTCATCAGTGGAAGAGGGCGCTTCAAGGCGTACGTGCATCGCGTGCAGCAGGACAGGGTGGACCTGTCGTTCCACAAGTCCTTTGACAACACGCCACCCTTTCAGGTCAAATTCTTTTTCACCCGAACGCCTCTGAAGCTGATGCATCGTGCCTTGGAAGACACCAAGAATCGAATGAACGACATTTACAGTCGCGACACCGATGGGCAGCCGCCTGCACGAGCTCCTGCTGCAATAGACAAGTTGAATGAAGATGAATGAAGAGCAATCTCATTTCGTGGACGCCGTAGTGCGAGCGAGGCGGGTCATGCAGATCTCCTTGTCCGTGTCAGAGCAGAAGTTGAGCAAGCACCTTGCAGATTCAAGTTCAGATGCTCGGGATGATCGGCTGCGAAAGCATGGAGAGCACACACTCTATCACCAGACAGATGCTGAATCAGCTCAGAGGATTCTGGACACGGGGCGAATGTTCAGAGGCTTTGCTGGCGCTTTAGGTGGTGGCATCTATTTTGCTGCAACACCCGATGACACCAAGAGGAAAGCACGGCGTCAGGGTGCTATCTTGGAGTGTTCCGTCAGGCTTGGTCGAATCAAGGAGGTAACTGCTTGTGACACTACATTAACTTTTACCAAGCTGCAGCGTGAGCGCTTTGATTCTGTGCTGTATCAGGGCTTCTCTTCTGGTCCAGAATACGTTGTGTACAACTTCGACCAGGTGAGGCCCTTGGGCATACATGGAAAGCCTCGCAAGCTTGCTCCCAAGCCCATTTTGCTTTGGGGTCCTCCCGGCACTGGCAAGACCACCACGCTCCAAGCCTGCGCATTGAGGACTTTCTGCTTTGTCATGCCTTTGGTCATTTTTATGCTTTTTGTTTTGCATAAAGGTCGAAAAATTCAGCTGCAACGTACGCCCCGGCCTTTATTGATCTTTATTGCCGTTCGGCTTTGAAACACCCTCTTGTGAGGTTAGTTGCAGCCATCCACCGGGTCCTACAGATCCCAGGGGCCAAGGTGCTTGCTGCTGCCCCCTCGAATGCTGCAGCGGACCTGATCTGCGAAAAACTCAGCGGGAAGGGCTGTCGCAACATGCTCCGCCTGAATGGCATGCTTCGCAGTGAGGGGGAGGTGCCAAGTTCGGTGAAGCCCTTCACGAAAAAGGGCCAGAGTGGTTTTGACACCTTCAGCATTCCTAGCTTGGAGGAGCTGCAGTCGTTCGACCTGATTGTTTCCACCTGCACATCAGCCGGCTATTTGGCCAGCCAATGCACCTTGCCCGGTTGGTTTACGCACGTCTTTGTAGATGAAGCTGCGCAAGCCTTGGAGCCGGAAGTCCTAATTCCAATCAGCACGGCGGAGCCGGGGGCTCTCATCGTTCTGGCGGGTGACTTCAAACAGTTGGGTCCCGTCATTCGATCGCCAGAGGCTGCTGCGCTGGGCTTGGACACGTCGCTGCTGGAACGCATGGTTCGCCACATCGGCATCGACCATCCCAGAGTGCACACGCTGTTGCGGTCCTACCGAGCGCATCCGAGCATCCTGGAGATCTACAACCGTATCACGTATGGTGGGATGCTGAAGTGTGCATGCCCTCGCAGCAGCTTTGACATGAGTCGGAGTAGTTTATGCTCTGTGGACCGTTATGGCAAGCGGCACCCAGTGGTTTTCCATCATATTTGTGGATCTGAAGCACGGGAAGCAACCTCGCCATCATGGTCAAACCCAGACGAAGTTGAAGTGCTGCGGTTGTACGTGCAGGATTTGCACGAGATTGGTGTCAGTGCGAAGGATGTGGGAATCATCACACCATACCAGCTGCAGTGCAAACGATTGCGACTAATGTGCAGAACAGAACAGTTTCCAGCTCAGGTGGGAACCACGGAGCAGTTTCAGGGTTGTGAGAAGCGTATCATTTTGCTCTCGACGGTGCGTTCTCGCCAAGAGAACGAAGTGCCACAGGACTTGAAGTTTGCCTTGGGGTTTGTTGGTCATGAGAAGCGCTCCAACGTTGCTCTCAGTCGTGCACGGTCTATGCTGGTGCTTGTGGGAAACTTGCGGTTGCTTTCAGCAGATTCTCATTGGCACCAACTCATACGGCTGGCCTCGCATAAGGGTTACTGCACAGGTGAGCCATTCGAACTGCAGACGCCTTGGACCATCGATGGTGCACGGTTCCAAGTAGGTGAGTCAGGCGCTGAACAGGAGCTGGTCTCTCGCCCCTGGCAGAGGTTTGAGTGACTGAGCGGGCTTGAGTGACCCCGTGAGAAGTGAACACTTGCCGGCTAAAGAACGCGATTTGCACAGGCTTTTCAGAGTCAGCGCCCGGAGCTTGACTTCACAAACTCACGCCTGAAGTCACTTGAAAGAATGCCTTCCTCACACCCTTCCCCCTCCTCTCCTGCCTTTGCTTCAACTCGCCTCCCAGGCGCACAGCTCCTCGTCGCAGCTCAAGTGCCGAGAGCGTTCCATCGATGCGGAGATGAACTGCGTGGATTGCGTGCGCCTGTGGCCGGGCCGCACGAGGCCGCAGTGGATCAGTAGTGCCTTCAGTCAGTGGATTGGGGACACCCCACGAAAATAGACTTCGCCACTTTCCCGACTCTTTCCCTACAATTCATAAGACCTCATTTTCTAGCTTTGTCCATACAAAAACACGACTGAACAATATTGAAGCAGATGGATGCAAGCTCATTTGGCTTATAAACTAATCCCCCCCGCCCCCCCCCAAAAAGGTTTATCCTCCAATGAAGTCACAAGCAGAAATGGACAGTTCCTTCGCTTCCTTTCTTTCGCCTTCCAAACGGCCTGCCTCGTGGCGGCTGCGGCCTCCTCAGGTTGCACGGCGGCTTCTATGGCCACATGGGCGTGGCGGTGCCGGCGCATCCCAAGCAGGAGAAGGTCATGGGGTGCCTCCAGCTCTCCAAGGTGAGGCGACTCCAAGGTGTTTGGACTGTTGAGACATGAAGGAACGTGGAAGAATGCGCGCCAGTTGGTTTTGGGGTGGAAGGGTGGTCGAGATGGAGGGACTAGCTTCAAACCAAAGCTTCCAAACGGAACCTTTTCCTTTGCCCTGGGAGCCCGCACCTCTCGAACCTCGGCGCGACCCGCCAGGTGCTGAACGTGGAAGCCAACCCCGCGGACGATCAGACCAACGGCGCCTGGGATTCGGCGCCCACGAGCCAGTACGCCTTCTGCAACACCCTCAGCGTGAACTACAACGCCATCCCCTCTTAGAAAGGCCGGCAAAACCCCCGGTCCTGGTGCGGCCTCGGGCGGCCGGTACGCCATCCCCTCTTGGAAAAGGCCCGGAAGTTCCCCCCCCTCCCCGGTGCGGCCTCGTTTGGGCGGGCCTGTGAGTTTGGGGGGATTTCCTTCAACTTTATGTTATTCTTTTTTGGGGATTTCCTCGATGCAACCGGTCTTTGTCTCCGTGTTTGTCTCGCTTTTGGTTTGGGCGCCAGAAATCCTATCTCTTTTTCCTTTGGGGGGGTAGGAGCAAGGACGCTACTAGGAACAAGTGCATCGCTACTAGTAACAAGTGCCTCACTACTATGTAGTAACAAGAAGCTACTACTAGTGCCTTGCCACACCACAAACGCCGGGAAGGTCGGGCGCTACCGCCTAGGACGGGTCGTCCATCCCGCCAGGCGGACGGGCGGAGCCCCTGACGACCGGGTCGACCCTTCCGTGAGCTCGGCGGGCACCGGGGGTGGGTGGAGCTCAACAAGTCAGAGAATTGGGGTCTTGTGTGGTGGGGGGAGAATGTGGGCAGCTCCAAGTGTAGAGCGCGTCAGTGAGTAGAGCTACCTATATACGTACTTTATTACTTTTTTTGGTAGGCTAAAATCACAAGCAGGAAGGGTGAGCTGTCCAGGTTCCTTCAATGTTTGAGATTCTTGATTCTTGTCCCACTTCAATCGTTTGCGCGGAAAACGGCCATGTCGGTTGTGGGAACGATGGTGCCACGAGTTTTGGGGAGGGTCTCTCAAGCGAGCGGGTCGGTCCTATTTTCCGAGCCATTTGCTGCTCTGATGCTTTCAAGCCGCTGTGGTCCCACCAGCTTGCCATGGACTGGAAGAGGTTTTATACCCATCACGGACACTGAACGGACCAGAGAGTTTCAGCGAAACGGTTCGAAATCTGGAGCTCTGTTTTGGATAAACCAGGTAGGCACACAAACACCAACACAGCAGAGTTTGGCTCCAGAGTTCGGACGGAGAAGCAGAGAAGGGTTCTCGAGCTGCCTGATCCACTGCATGCAATGCTGGTGGTCCACGGCACGGTGGTTTTTTCCGGAGTTTTGGTGGGCTTTTTCCCGTTCCTGGGCTTGGCGAAGTCATGAACGTCAGAGCCCCCCAGAAGATTGGCATGGTCACACCTCTCCAGCAGATGGTGGCACCTACTGACTACTGAGCTGGTTTTTGGCAAAGGTCCTGAGGTGGCATGTTTCAACAGGTGAAGTCAGAGAGTATATCAGTATATCTCCCCTGGTTTGGGGGGCTATGACCGCTTTGGTCATCTAAGATTCAATCATTTGAACTTGTGATTGTTTAGCCCACAGGGTGCATTTGTTTGAGGACAGTTCTTCAGGAGGGATCTCTCCTATTGACTAAATAAGCTCTTTGTAGTCCTGGGCGCCCTTGAGTGGGCCTTCTCCAAGCCTATGAACAGTGGCTGAAACTCAGCCGCCCACTTCTCGCTTGCAGCGGCTCCTGCCTTGCATTTTGTATTTTCTGGACACCCCTTAGTGTTATTAATATCCCAAGCTTTGTTGGCTTTTAACTTTGCACCCATCAGATTGCAATTCTTCTTCCCCTGATTTTGGGAAACGTAGAGCCAGTATTCCAGAAATTCTTGGTGTCCATTCTGCCCAATCCCCCCCGCCTAAAAATAGCCCAGTGTCTATGAACCACCCCAAAGCTGGGGGTCCTGCAGATGCACACTTTGCTTGCTTGAGATGCATTTCTCGGGGGACAGCATAGCTGTGCACCGAACTCGCTTATAGCGGGGCCGAACTCACATCACATCGTTCCAAAGTGCAAGGTTTGGGATCGCTGGCCGAGCTGCTCTGATCAATTCGCTGCAGAAATCTGGAGGGCCCATGGACCTCACTAAATGTTCGGTCTTCCATGCGGCCCGAGAGTCTGGCCGTCCCGGCAGTAGCGCTGCAGAGGAGTCAAAAAGGACATGCATATGCATTTGCGCTGCGGGAGAGGGCAGGGAGAGGCGATTCTTCCGGGTTTTCCTGGAGCTCCACCCAAAGGTTCGATGTCCATTGCAAGCCGAACGGATTCCGGAAGATTTTGGAGCATGCAGAAATTCGGGTTTCAGACACTTTCCAGGACCCCGAGGGACCTCCGGGGGTGTTGAATGGAGACACGATCTGGCCGCTTTTCAAGGCTATATTGATAGACCCCCCCAAAAAGGGGGGGGTCCTGAGTCCCGGTTGAGGTTCCATGCTTTTTAGGATTTTTTTGGTGGGACCTCCGGTGACCTACCCGGGACCTGGACTTCGTTCGCCGTCGCCATCAAGCCACCCTTTTTGAATCAAGCCAGCAGGCACAAGCCAGACGGCCCATGGAATGCTTTTCGCCGCTTGCTCATCAATCCTTCACCTGGGGCTCAGGGTGTTTCACTACATAATGTTGTGGGGGGAGGGGTTTGAGTCAAAGCCTCCGATATTTGCAGTGCTGGAGGCCATTCATTCATTGCTTGAGCTGGGAAACCTCAGGACTGCTTAAGTTTGCCTTGCACGGTTCTCCCCAAACTTCCGAACTGCCACACCACTTCAGCCTCCGTCCCCCCCCAAACGCCGAAGCCGTCCCCTTTTGCGCCTCCTCGTTCCGGTGAACCGCACGGCCACCGGACGGAGCTCCACTGTCGCTCCGCCATGGGCAGCTTCGAGCCGGGGGACCACATCCAGCGGCGGCGCTTCGGAGCCTCGGCGGGAGGAGGACGGGAGGGGCTCGAGCCGAGGAGCCGTGGGTCCAACTGGTTGGGAGATGTTGGGCGCTTCTGACATTTCGGTCCAGAAAGACAGGAGCAGAGAGAAAGAAGATGAATCGAAGTCACCTTCAGTCTGACACAGTCTTGTGTGGGGAATCCTGCTGTGGCCTTCCTTTGGGCTTGGCTTGGGCAGGCCCAAGCGGGAAATTCACGCAGGTCGCACACTCTTCCTTTCCTTGCCCCGCCAACCAACCGTGCGATCTCGTCCTCCCGGCCCAAAACCGTCTCCACCGGAGCGACCGGAGCGACCGAGGCTACGACCACCACGCGATCTTCGTGGCGTGGGACGTGGAGCCCGAGGCCTACCTCATCCACCACCCCATTGGGCGCCGTGCCAACCCGTTCCCTGGGAGTGTGGGGAGTGTGGAAGGGGGTGGTGATGGTGGTGGAAGAGGATGAAACAAAAATCCACAGCCAAGCTGGGAGTCTGGGAGGATTTGGGAGGATTTCAGAGTTCCATGCAGAACCTTTGGGAACACCAGCAGCTCCAAGCCTGCCCACATAGCAAGTCGGGGTCTAATGTCTTCGAAAGTGTCTTCGAATATATGCGAGAGAAGCGCAAGCGGCAGACTGGTAGCAGACCTCCGAAAGAGAACAGAGCCACATCCAAATTTGCGAGGTGGGGTTTCAGAGCGCCCTCGAGCATGGATGGAGAAGAATGCAGATGCAAGCCGAAGTAGATAGAAATAGATAGAATATATGTGGTATGGGTCGGTATGGGGGGGGCATGTCCCCAAATGTACTGTATTTCGAAGACTTTCTTGTCTCCGCCTTCTCCTTAACGTTCAGGCCTTCCGCACACGACCAAACGACCGTGAAATAACGGGAAAAACAGTTTTTTTCTCCTCTTCAGACCTGTGAGGTTGAAGGATATATGATATATCCAAGGAAAAGTTTGAGAAGAAAGATCACGAAGGGCCTCTCCCTCTCTCTGTGACTGGGATGGTCCGACCCAAGAGGAGGCGCGGGGGGGGTGCCGCCTCCGCCTCCAAACCTGCCGCGTGGGTCGCGTGGCGCACCCCGTCCCACCCGACCCCTCCGCTGAGGCTCCGAGGGAAGATCCGCCACGAGGTGCGGAACGTCTTCGAGTACACCTTGGTGCGACGACCGGCGGATCCCGCCGCTTCGGCCGGGGGGTTTGGAGGGGTTGAGGGGGGGCGGTCGGCTGAGGGAGAGAGGTGGGGAGAAGGGGGGCGAGAGCACCCTGTAAAGGTGGGAGGGAGGAGATCTTACATCAGCGTACTCGTGCAGCTTGGTGGGTCCCAAAGGATGCAAGAGATGGCTGGGTTGGGCAATTCAGGGTCACACCAAACTTCGGGTCTCCGTCGTTTTCTTTTCGGAGGACCAGCGAGTGGCCGTTCAATGAACCGCTTCCGGAAGCGGGCCACTGGCGGAAGCGGTCTTCATCTGTGTGGTTCACGTGTTGTGCGGTTTGTGTGAGTTTGGCAGCGTGCAAACGTCATACACAACTTAGCATACATCGTAGCATCGGACAAAAATGCCGGCGACGTGTGAACGTGCTTTGACAGCATGCAACTCTTGATGCCATTTTGGGCTCAGGGCCTTTGCAACCAAGGAGTTTGACTCAACTGAGTTAGCGCGATGCCACGTCGCGAAGAAAAATACTGTTATGGTCAAGGCTGGGCGCATTTCCGGCAACCCAACTACCTGAGCAGTCGAAGCCGAAAACGCCGGACAGCACGTGGGCTCTTCAGCACTACACGGGCATATTTGCTATGCGGAAGTCAACCATGCCCTTCGCTCTGACGACAGTAAGCTTTTGAAAAAACACGCCGATTTGATCAATTCCCTCCGCCACCATGATGCACAATCACCGTGAATATGGCACGGTCTATCGTGGAATGAAGCTTGCACAGTCAGAGCATGCGTTCTACACAAAAGGTAAGAAGTTCCTGTGGCCTGGCTTCACGTCGGCCAGTCTTGATCTGAAGACAGCCTTTGCATTCGGGAGTTGGGGAGGCCAGAATGGCGATGAAGTTATTTTCGAGATTCAGCTTGGGAAAGGAGAAGGGACAACATACTCTCGTGAGATCTCGCATCTGTCATGCTACCCGAGCGAGAGGGAAGTTTTGATCTACTGCTACTCAGGCTTTGAGGTGGTTGATCGGGGCACGCTGAACGGCCATACTTGGATCACACTCCGACCCTTCGACACTTTGTGGGTGGAAAGGGGGATGCCTGGTGGGTTCATCATGATGTTTGTGATCTTCCTCTTCGAAGGCGTGTTTTCTATGACGATGCTCTGGGTCGGGTTATTTGGATTCAGATCCCTCTGGCCTTTGATCACATCTCTGATGGCCTAAATGGCCTCTATCGGGAAGGCAACTATCAAGAAGCTGAAAAAGAGTGTTGGCCGTCATGGCCTTGTGGTGAGTCTAGTTGAAGACCGAGGATGCCTGCTAGCAGCACCTAACTACACACTGAAACCTTTATCTACCTCTCAGAAGCTGTTGGCCAAACCACCTTCTAGATTCTAAACCGACCACTGGCGATTCAAGCCCGGAGTTCTGAGCGAAATCCCCGCCGGTTGCGCAGTTGTGGCCGGGCGCATCGAGATGCACACTAAGGAGGCCGTGCTGCAACGGGCACTGTCCCGGGTGGGTGAGGATGGCTACAACTTGGTCTGGAACAACTGCGAGCACTTCGCCGCACCTGGGCGCCAACGACAAACGCGGCGGAGAGCCGGGTTGCTGCGGAGCCGGTGAACGAGGGATGTAGCTACCCCATTGGCCCTGAAGTGAGCCTCCCATTGGCTGTTGGCGAGGGATGTAGTACAGAGAGCTTCTTCTCTGTTGGCCCTGTGGGATCTGGTGGCCCTGTGAAATCTGGTGGGTTTCAAGAGGGGAATGACAGACAGACCCCGAGTTGCATGCTTGTGATTCAAGTTCTCCATTGGTGCCGAGGGCGTGCAAACATGAGTCGTATACCGTATATTGTATGCTTTTGAGTCGTGAGGGACCAGGGATTTCGACTAATCCGGTGTGATTCTAGCTTCTGCCAGAGCTTTCCTCATGGTTCTAGTCACCCTTGGAGATGCAGAGACTCTTGGCTGTGATTCTAGACAGGCAGAGAATCCCACACCAAAGTTCACCACCCTATGATTCGGGGTTCTTCACCCAGGTGGCCGTTTACGGATTTCCTGCTAGCCACTTGAAGCCAAGGAGTGGTGCGTCACCGGGCGACACCGGTGGCTTGGGTCTTCATTTGGTGGGTGGGATGTGAGAATGAGGGAGTGGCATGTGGAGTGAGGTCTGAAAATGAGGGGTCAGACATGTATTTTTGTTGGGGATGTGTCACGTTCCTTTCCGGTTCTTCATGCCATTTAGTTGGGTACAAATCCTGGCTTCTCATGCCCTAGGGATCCGTTTTCGTACCGAACCTCATGCTCAGTACGGCTGGACCCTCCTGGCACCTGCATAACAGTGTCCAGCACATCACCTGAGAAAGCACGACTGGATCGGACGCTGAACATCGCACCTCCATTCCTTGCGAGGCTTCGCCCAACCCTCGCGCGTACCTCGTGCAGGTCGCACCAGGTGCTGGGCGCTCTGCTGGGCCCGGTGCCGGGCGCCGTGGTGGGGGGCGCCATCGGCCTGACGCTGGTGCCGGCGGACGCTCGGTGGAGTGACGGCGCAAGCGCGCGCGGAGGATGGTGGTGGAGGTCGGTTTCACTTCAGAAGTCGTTGCCATGGCCATCCAACAGAGGTTCAGTGACCTGAGCTGGAACCCTACAAAGGTACCCAACTAGGATAGTCAGTCTATAGGGTTCTTCAACCTCTGCTGGATGGCTTGATCACCTTCTCTTGTGATTTCTTTTCCTCTTCGGGGGTGACATTCATGGAGTCGATGGGCTGTGAGATGAAAATTGGGCTTCCCAGATCTGTGGGGCCAAATGTATCAGATTTGATCATATTCGATCTACTCCTTGGGAGCGACTTAGCATTAGGATGTTGGCTTCCAACATCGATCACAAGACTTGTAGCCCAACATCGGTGGAAGTATATAGAGGGTTGCTAATTTTCGTTATTTTTCTGCAAGAGCCTGGGTCCAGAGAGCATTTTAGGGATGAGCCCAATCAGTTGGCTTGATAGCTGGATTCCCAGCTTGTCGTGGACACGTGAGCTGCCATGCAGGTTACGGTTCAAGATGTTGGTTGTCTTGTTGGCAAAGAGTTCCCAGCAAGCCTTGCTTCAGAAGTTTCCCACCTACTTCTTCAGCTTTTTGTACACAATTTGATGTATATCCCTTTCCCCGAAGGAAGAATGAAATGGTTTGAGGGACGTGGAGAGAACGCACAGCTTTAGTTTTTGGGGTGACAGTGTCCATGTTTGACATTGAGCCTGGTGGAGCACCATCGAGCCTATGTGGAAGGAGCACCTCGCTCCAAGTCAACAAAAATCAAGTCCCCTCGATGAACTCACTGAGTTGGCAGGGTCCAGGGCAGCAATCTCAACCAGCTTGGCAGCTTGCTAATGTAGTCTCTTGATTCCATTCACTCCAGTTGGAGTGAGAGACCTCTCCAGGCTTATCCTGGGGGTGGTGAATCAATGAGTCCTACCATCTACGCCACACGGATCTCACGCCCATCCGGGATCGACCCATCCGGTCCCTGGCCGACCGGATCGGCCGGACCACACACCGCTCAGGTGACCGTGTGGGGTTCGCCGACGCTGGGGAAGGCCCGGGAGGAGTCGCCGGGAGGAAAGCCGGGAAAGCCGGGAGAGGAAATCCGGTGGCACCAAAGCCAGGAGGCCACCTGGGTTCGGTGCGGACCACCCCCCAGGTCTTTTTCTGGCTTGGATTTGTATGGGGATTGGGTGGTTGATGTGGTGCCATGTCATGGAGCAATGCCTATAGAACCTGATGTTGGAGCAGAGCTGCCAAAAGCACAGCAGAATTCTTCAAGCGGACCGGCTTGCATGAGTCACTCCTTGCAGTGACACTGACACTCCAGAATGCGCTGAAGAACGTGGTTTTCGCTCTTCCGTTCGATCGTTGGTTCCAACACCGAGAAAGCCAGCCGCATCACGCCTGCCCGGACCGCGACCTGCGCAGTGGGCAGTGGCGCTGGGGCTCATGTCCGCGCCGGTGAAGTGGCACTTCGTCGCCGCCCGGTGAATTGTGGTGAGAGGACGAGGGGGGGTGGGTCAAGGACTGGAAGAGATAATATACACATGCCTGGACCCTCCAAGGGGTGTCCGATGGACTACCCCACACTACCTATAGGCTTCCATTGGGCACCCCTTGGAGGGCCCTGGTATATAATATATCATACATGTTAAACAGTTCTTCAAGTCTTGTCCAAAGAATGCTCTTTGGAGGCAAAAGTCCGGAGCTGTGTGGTTTTTGTGTGATCACCTCCAAGCCAGGTCTTTGTCCAGATATCAGTCTGGGAACATGATGAAGACCCTGAGAGAAGGACGGCGAAGGAGGTCATTTCTGCCCTCGACTCCGCAGCTTTTTGAAGTCAGTGCACCTTGCTTAGATGATGATGCATTCCAGATAAAATCGGACAGGTAATGACAAGATGAAGGTGGGCCGCTCAAAAGGTCCAGGAGCAGCTTCATGAACATGCATGATATAACGGGGGGGGGTCCTGCATTTTAGACACCGACCCATTCAGTCGAACTCAAGCTTTGTCTACTCGGCGGGTGGGCAGGACTGGAGTTTGTTGACGGCGCACAGCTTTGTTCAGTGCCATGCCGTCACTGGTTCGCCGCGGGTATTGGCGAAGAGTCCTGGAAGCCAACGACGGAGAGCCAGAGAAACTCAAGGAGTTCAAACATTGCACCTGTCACATGTTTGAGCCTTCTTGCGCTACACTCATGGGGTTTGCAAGGTGGTTTTGACGGCAAGCAAGATCAGGGGTAAATGGCTCAGTTCTGGTGTTAGTGAAGTGTTGCCTCAGCCGCTCGAGCAGCCGATGAAGCCATACAGCTTGCCGGAGAGGCCAGCACCCAAGTCCCAAAAACACACACCACTCTGCTCCTGGAAGAGCACCACATTCCACGTCGGGCCGACCGGCGGACCGGGATGAAATCGCCAGGAGATCGTGTTGAAGGACGCGGAGGTGGCGATTTCCCGGCGCCGCGGAGGACGCGGAGTTGGTCGCACTCGATTCGGCTCCAAATCCCAGGGACAGTCCTTTTGGAACGGTCCAGCCCCGGACGAAGAGCCGGACCGGACCAGCACTTTGGAAAGACTGAGCCGTCGGGCTGTCACAAGCATTCTCTCGTGAGCTGGAGAGAAGAAGAGGTGGCAGTTCGCATCCGCCTTCGGCCGTCTTGACCCTTCCATTTCGATGGGTGACCAACTGCTGGAGTGACCACACGCTCAGGTTCAGCACCAACGGGCCGTGTCCCACGTCTACCCTCCGACGAAGACATCACATGGAAGAAGACTCTTTTCCGAAGAGCAGCAGGGTGGTTTCATCTCTAAGATCTCCCTCAAAAATCCATTTGGTTGAACGTTCGACATGTCTCACCAACAAGAGTTCCAAGGATAATGGGGTGATTGAGTGGTTCCAAGAAGTAGATTGCACCAAAACTGACAGGACCTTCCAAGAGGTGGTTCTCCAGCACAGCTGGTGTGTTGACCTTGGAAGCACCTGTTGGAGTAGACCATCTTGACACTTGGATGTTCCATGCCGCCTCCGAACCCCACCCCAAAACCTCAACCGCCTTGCTTCGACCAAGTCGTTGGCCACGTGACCCTGAAGACACCCACAGATCCATGCCACAACATCCCCGTGTCGTCCTTCGCCGCCGCTTCTCGCTGTAACCGGGTAGGTGGTTGGCATCCTGGGCGCCTTGGTGCTCACCATCACCGTGGCGGGGCTCACCATCGTGGATGGCCATCTCAGCGAGCCCTCCGGGCCGCGGATCCTCTACGCGCCGCGGAAGGCCGGTTGACGGACGGACCTCGGCGGTGTCCCCGGGGTTCGGCCAGGGCGAGGGCGAGGGCGAGCGATGCTTTGCGGGGGGGTTCGCTCGCCTTTTTGCTTCGCTTGTCTGGGACCAGCGGCCGTTGGCACGGGCTTCATTTCTGCCTGTTGGCTTCAGGAGCTTTCGTAGGAATGAGTTGCTGTTTACAGCGGGAGAGTCCAATCACTACTCCAGAGGATTGCGATTGCACCCGAGCTGAGGTGCTCCTGAGCTTTCTGAGTTTCGTGTTCTCCTTGAACGCCTTGATGACGGCGTCCAGAGCTCCTGGGGCTTGAGTTGGGGTGGGGCACGTCAATAGCAGGAACCCTGAGACATCCTGAACTATCTTATAGAATCTTATAGACTTAGTTTAACTTTTATTCACATCCCCTTTTTTGTCTTTAAAGCATTGCGAAGCAGACTGACGTCGTTGATTGGGGCGTGTATAACCGGCTCAGAACCATCGTGCCTGACTGCTGGGGTTCCGTCGTCGCAGTAGCACCGTTGGAGGCATGGCAAAGGCAGCAGTTCTTACTTAACCTTTTTGGGGATCCCATTCCAGCACCCGACTCTACAGGTCTCCCACAAAGAGTCGAACTGGCCTAAGGGGAGGTTGAAACCATCGGTGACCTGGCAGTGAGGGTGCTGGTAGAAGCGAACACTCATGCTGTTTGTGTGCGCCGAGCACCCACGAAACGCGAAAGAGACGGAGCGAAACAGGAGCTACACTACACGAGGGTTTAGCACCACGGCAGCGCCGTGGCTGCGTCGCTAAGCCCCTTGAGGTGCTGCTGTCCATCAACAAGCTGCATCCCAGGGACGTTTTGCAATGCCTGGAATCCCTCGATGAGTGGGATACTGCCGACGGCTTCTGGTGGTTCAACCGGAGCTTGGTCTTCTTGCTGCTGGCGGTCTGGGTGTGTCTCGGATGACCAGGAGTTGAATTTAGACAGTTTTTGCGAGTGCATGTGACATGTCTGCCTTGAAAAGTGCTGCTTTTGCGACTAGGGACCTCGGAATGTTGCAAAGATGTGCAAACATGTGCAAGCACGCGCAGACTTTTTCCATTGCCATAGGCCGGCCAACGTTTGAAGTCAAGATAGCTTTGCGTTTTGCTGGTTTGGGATGCCATTGTGGAAGTGAAAAGGTGTGCTTCTGGATGTTTGCTGACATTCTTCAACAATGCTGCAACCACTGTCGATGGCCAAATCTAGTCCACACCAAGATAAGATACTGCCTATCCCTGGATCTTCCAAGTCTGATTGCGGACTGTCCATCTTTTGAATACGTTTTACCCAACCTCGGACGGTTGTGATCCAGCCCCACTTGCGTTCGACCTGCTGTGTTTGAGGCTCGTGGACCTGCTGTACGACCACACCTGCTTCCTGCTGTGTGGCGTGCTGGCGCTCGTTCCGCTGGGCATGATGTGGCACCTGCACCGCGCGCACGTGGCCGTGGTGTGGCCGATGATCCGCCTGGCCGCGGAGGGCAGCGCCAGTGCCAGCGCCAGTGGCAGCGCGTCCTTGGAAGCGACTCCGTCGTCCTCGGAGCGGCTGGTGGAGCAAGGCCTGAAGCTGCAGGTGTAGATGAAGCGGCCTGAAGGTCCTGATGTGGTTGTGGAGCTGATGAGGTCGGAGGTCCTGCAGTGAGTGGCAAGGCCCTTCTCGGAGCCCAGCTGAGGCCATGTGAGTCGTCTGAGCTGCACGAACTCAGCCCCAAGTGGGAGGCCCTGGGCCAGACTTTACCGAGGCCACTACCACCATGAAGGCCTGAAAGGGCCCTGAAAGGGCCCTGAAAGGCCGGGCGTGCTCCAGTTCATGCTCGCAGGATGCGGTTGGTCGAAGCTGGACAGACCGTCCCGGTTGGAGCGACTTCGCGGCGACAGACCGTGCGCAGGGCGCAGGCGCATCGATCGGTCCGGTCATGCAGCTCATGAGAAGCTGCTTCCGGCTTTCGCAGCTGGAGACCCTTTCCCACGGTGAGAGGGTGGCGCCACAGAGAGGTGGGTCTCCCGGGTCCTCCCCCCCTACTATATAACTAATTATAGTAGGGAATGAGGGAATGAAGCCCCCCTGGCCCCTGGTAGATACCTTAGGATGTACAAAACACACATCATTCCTCACGAGTTGCACCTGTCAGTCAACGTGGCCCGGGTTCGCCGGCGAACTCGCGTTGTGGGCCCGGTCGTCTGCGGTTCAAACCCCCCAGCTTGGGGGCTTTCTGCCAAGCTAGCCAGCTCTCACTAGGTGCACCCTGTTCAATAAATGGTTGACCTGGTATTGTAGTCCCAGAATCATCCTTAGTGAAACAAGGGTTGTTCAGAATTCGCACCCTTACATACAACCATTGACTTCATGATCTTAATGGCCTTTATAAAACCAATTCTTCGATCAACAGTTTCTAAGACCAATCCAGGTCAAGCTCTTTTTTCTTCGCACCGGGGGGTTTCTCACTTCGGAGAAAAAGCCGCGGAACCCATTGCCACTGAAGCCACTGTTGGGGGTCTGCGGTATCGAGGTCTCCGGCATCGCGGTGGCCGTCCGGGGCCCAGTCCTGTGGGGCGTCTCCCGGTGTCTCCGGCGGAGGGTCTTACACCAGCACCCGGAGCAAACCGGTTCTTCGGACGGCGAGGTCCGGGTGGCCTCTTCCCTCTTCGTCTACGTCGCGGTCCGGGGGATCAGAAGGAAGTGGGTCGCGAGTCACGTGAGGTTTCGGAGAGGTGTAGGTTTCGTAGGTCGCCCGGAGGTTCTGGGCACCGTGTCCAAGAGGTAGAGTTTATACGGTTTCAATCGGTTTCATATATATGTTTACAATCCAAAAGTACCGTATTAGATTACATAAATTCATAAATTCGATTTCAATCCCTTTCTACCTTCGAAGTTTGTGCCCTCCACTCTGTTTCACACCACTCTTGGTCGCCACCACTTGGTCCCTGCCAACTCCGGACTTGACCACCTCCTTGGGCCCTGTGCGCGGAACCGCCGTGCCCGCGTGGCACGAGGCTCCCATTGGACTGGTCCTGGGGCTCATGAGCTCGCGCCTGCTCGCCCGCCTGCGGGCGAACCTGCGCACGGCCCCAGACCCCGCGGCCGCGGCGTAGGGCCGCCCGGGCCGCCCGCGGCGACGCGGAACCGGGGGGGGGGGGGTTGCGGCGTGAGAGTGTCGGAAGCGGGGGGAGTGGGGCATGGAAGGGTCGGACGGGTTTGGGGCGTTACGGTGATCATGTAGAATGTTTTTGGGGAAGTGCGGACAGCACCAGGCAGAAGAGCCATAGGTCGAATGAAGAGAGGCCCTTTGGATCCAGCCTTCTCCGACTGATCCTGGTCCAGTCCTCATGCCTTTCTCGCGGGAAGGGCGCTGGCGCGGCCCGGCGGCTTGTACAGAATTGGGTGGTTCGACCCACGGGACGGGGGTTTACCAGTTGGGGTGGTGCTTGGATCGCTACAAGGTGGGCACCGTTGTTTCGACCGTTGAGCATCGGCTCGGACCCGAAAACAGGTTGGAGACGACATGGGAACCCTCAAGAAGGGGGACTTCTTCGAATTGATATAGTCCAGACCACCAGCAACTTCCGAAGACCACCCTGGCTTGTGACCGCCGAAGTGTTTGGATGCGGCTTCGGGGGGGTGTTCGCTTTTCAACTGAGAACGCCTCAGCCACCTCCGCCGAAGCGCCAAAGCCGTGCCCAGCGAAAACTTGGTGCGACCATGCGACCGTGGTCGGATTGCGAGGGGGTGTCGTAGCCGGAGCGGGCATGGTCGGAGAACGGCCCGAAAGAACTATAGTTAAATTAGTTCCCTACAGGTCCAAAGCCCCAGTAAAACCCAATGTTTTTTCCTCCTTGGGTCCTTGAGTAGTGGTATAGTATACTCATAAACATGAGGCCCTTGGACCTGTAGGGGTTTATGGATGAGGACGTGTGAGGAATCTTCGACTAAAGCGGCTGACCACCCGCTGGCAACCACCGACCGACTCCTGGATGAGGTACGGACGGACCCAGCTTCCGGACACAGCAGGTGCAATCCCCACTAGCAGCGGTCCGCTTTTTGTGCGTTCCTTACGATGTGTGCGCAGCCACCGTGCTGCTGGGTTTTCCTTGATTCCGGGCAGCGGAAGTGAAAACCATCTCATCACCTCATCACCCCGGCCTTCCTGGGTGCGACTTGACCATGCAGCCACTCTAGCCGCCTCTCTGTGGCTACCTTCAAAGGAGGCCAGCCGTTTTCGGGGCGATGCAGCACCAATAGCCACCCCTTCCGTTGTGCTGGAATGTAAAATGGGATTCTTATGGATTCTTCATTCTCATTGATCATCTATGCTCCCATCACCCCTGGACCCACCACGTGCCGTGCCGTGCCTCCGCAGCCGCGTGCTCCGAACGGAACCCCCGAACCGACCGGTCGGTCGGCGGGCGAGTGACCGGCTCGGGCTCCGCGGGACAACGAAGCGGCCCAATGCCAGTGCATCGATGGGTGCCGTGGGCCGTGGGGAGGTTGGCGGGCGGAAGAACGGACGGTTTGCCAACAACCAGCCCCTCGGTACACCTTTTCCCAGAGAAATCAGCATCCTAGAGGCTACGAAGGGGAGGGGTTGGCCAGCCATGCCCGGACCTTTTTTTGCTTTTCAGTGCGAGCGTTGTGGTCGTAGGTGGTCGGGCCGGGCAAAACCATGCGCGAGGACTTCGAAAGGCCTTCGCTGACTTGTAGCTGGTGCAGGCCGCCGGTTCCTAGAAGTGCAGCTCCAGTTCGACGGATCGATTTGGCACCACCGGGAAGTCACGACAGTTTCTTCCAAGGTGACCTAGTCAGACCATTCTTTTGGATGGTCATTGACTTTCAGGGGCTGAAGGCCAGGCTGAGAACTTCTTTGGACGAGCCCCGGAACTGCCAGATCGACCTCCCAGCAATTCTTGCCGCTGTCCCTTTCTGGTGGCTCTTAAGCCAGCTGAACTCCTCACCTTCTGCCCGACGAGGTGCTCTGGTTGGTGCTGGCCTGTGGTGAGGCTGCTTTGGTGAAGAGGCTGGATGGGGTGGATCTATGGGAAGCTGCTTAAAATGAATCCCTTCACGGATGGTGTTGACACCTAGGATGGGTGCTGGCACCTAGGAATGCACAGGATGTGACTCTTGAGAACCTCGGATGGGCATCATCAAATCTTGGGCGTGTCAGGACTACAGAAAGCCAGCAAGCGAGCCTCCGTTTCGAGAAGGTGTCTGAACGTTGGTTCACCCTGCTTGGGCTTAGCCAGAGGGGGGCTGCTCGTTCCAAGCTGAAAGCGATCATGATCTCAACCAAGCAGCTTTTCATTTTTGGTTGCTGTACAGCCTTTACAACGTCAAATCCATTTCAGCTTTCGATCAATCCATTCAAACTGCAGTAGCCTGTAGCATTTTCTGGGCGATATGGAGTTCATCTCCGAGTTCAGATTAGGGGTTCAACTGTGCTTCTAGTGTTTGTATCTATGCCTAGTCTTGGTCTTTCAACTGCTAAACATCCAAAGCTTCAGCGCCTCTTCCACGATCTTCCACGGCGACCGCGGTCGCCGGGTCGCGCCGTCTCGGATCGCGGTCGATCGTCTGAAGACTCCAGTCTACCCAGCATTCTCTAAAAACCGGCGCAGGTCAGCTGGCGAAAGAGGTGTGAACATGTGCCAAGTCCTTACCTTGGCCCCCTTGACTTCGACCATTTTTCGACCACCAGATGGTGCAGTTGGGGAGCCATATGCCAGTCCAATGGACTTTCCCTGGGGCACTTGGGGCATCCTTCCCGGCATGTTTCACGTGGTGCGGGGCGAGGCTCCACAATGGGACGAACCACTCTGAGAAGTCCGTGCAGCAGATCGTTCGGGTGCGGGGAAGCCGGCTTGGGGTTCGATGTGCCGGCGCGGAGAGGTGCCGAAGTGGTGGATGGTGGTGGATGGGTGGTGGTATGATCTGTATGGCCCCTGCCTAGTGCTCCATGGACTTGGGGTGTGGAATCAGGCCGCCGACTTAGGCCTTTGCAGTCAAGGCTGCCCGTGGGCTTGAGCCCAAAAGCTTGTTCTCAATATTCTCCGAAGATCCTACATGTTGGGGGTTGTGCGGAGTTTTTTCCCGTGAGATAGCACAAAGTCCTCTTCTTGGGGTGCTTCACTCCACATGTCTTCTCTCCCTCACCAGGTGCCGGCTCGCGACGCGCCTTCGCGACCGCAAGGATGCGGAGCTGGCGAACCTGCGAATCCTGGAGGCCAAGTGGCAGAAGCTCAACGAGTCCCTGCACTACGCGCCGCTTGGTCGGAGCGTTCGGTCGGGAGCGTTCGGGCGGTCGTGGCACATGCCGCTTTGGACCGAGGCCGGTGGTGGATTGGGAGAAACGAATAGAAACGATCATCTATAGTCTGGATGATAGTAACTCCCTACTTGAAGAGGTTTTGCATTCCATGTCGTATATTTTTGTGACCCAGGAGATCTCAAGCGTCTATATTTTAGCCCTTGACAAGAGGGCCGCAGTCTGATGTACATCAATCCCGACAACGCGTACTTGGGGGGCGAAGTATGCTGCAGCCTCATGGCCAGAGGGATGTTAAGAGCGTCATGGCCAGGTGGGGGGTATTGTTGGCCGAGCACGATCGAACATATTCTCTGGTGGGTGAACAAGCTTGTTCAGAATAGAAACAGAGAATATAGAGAATCGGAGGCCATCGCTACTAGGTTGGAAGCCATCGCTCAAAGAAAGAAAGAAAGAACGAACGAAAGAAAGAACGAACGAAAGAAAGAAAGAAAGAACGAACGAACGAAAGAAAGAGAGCAAGGATGCTACTAGTAGCTCCCGGCCTTACTACTATACTGCGAATTCGGCGCATTTTCGGGCATCGCGACTGGAACGGTTCGCGATCGGTTTGCTCTCGTCTCTGCAGTGGCCTCAGGGAGACGTACCTGGCAGACTCCCGGGAAGAGCTGGCGAATTTGACCGCGGAGCTGGTGAAGAGCAACCTCTCCCAGGTGCGCGAGCGGAGCGCCATGGGTCGGTCTCATCCTTTCGGTGGTTTGTGTGGAGAGGGTCCAGGGAAGTATGGAGGGATGGTGGGAAGTATGGCTTTGAGCCAGGATGTGTTCGCGCCCGTTTCGTGCGGCCGGTCTTGCGCCAACAGAACCTCCCCCTCGCTGCGCTGGTGTTCTTTTCGTTGGACTGGGCCGGTGCGCATCGGTCACGGTGTTGGCGGTGTCGGCGGAGGTCGGAAGGATGGGGGGGGCCAACTGTCGCTCAGAGGTGTTGGGCGCGAGCCGCTCGCGAGGACGATGAGAGTCCATCCTGTTGGACCCCCTGCAGGGGGTGCTAACTAGGAACAAGGACGCTACGAACGGAACAAAGGGCATCGCTACGAACGGAGCAAGGATGCTACTAGGTCTCTTCGGATGATTCTCCGGGGGGTCCCTTCCAGGAGAGCCCTGTCTCCCCCGACCCTGTCGGCAGGAAATCCAAGCGGCCAAGGAGAAGTACTCCGAAGTGTTGGTCAGCGAGGCCGGACGGCCGGACGACTGACCGGTTTTGGATGGAGAGACCAACCGAGTGAGGGTCTGGGAAGAATCCGAAGGAAGAGGGAAAATGCTACTTGTACCTACCTAGGTAGCCAGCACCTACCTACCTACCTACCTACCTGGAAGTAAGTGAGGGTGTTGTAAGCCTGGCGTGACCGGCGTGAGATGCTACCAGGTCACCACCTGCACCCTCCGTTCGATCGGTGATTTCGTTGAATCAGTGCTCCATCACCTGGACCTGGACCTGCGGAGTCTGGGTCAGCTACCGATCTTGGGGTCCTGGATGGTCCTGGTACCGCCGGTGGTCGCGCCGGCGAACGGCGTTGGAGCCGTGGAGCGTTCCCCATGCGTCGCAGGCCACCGAGCAAGAGAACCGCGCGTGGCAAGAGACCCTGCGAGCGGAGGACGTCGAACGAAAGCACCCGGAGACACGGAACCGGAGGCGTTGTCGAGGGAAAGGAACATAGAGGCTATAGGGGTTTGAGGGAAAAGCGCCAGGGATGTGGTTGGTGAAAGAATCGAAAGAATCAGAATCCAACATGTTTCCTTCATAGACGACACATTTCGGGCCGCCTGGGCCCCTCCAAAGAAGCCTGGAATAAGTCGATGAACGTGGATCATCACGTGTGGGTGCCCTCCCATGCCCCGTCCGCGTGAACCAAGCCGTCCGCGCTCCGGTCCGCGCTCCGCGCGGTCTCTGTCCGACCGTCCGTCCGTCCGAGGAGGAGATGTTTGAGGCCCGGGAGCGCTATGCGAAGGCCCTCGAGGCGCTCCTCGGCTGTGCACCAGAGGCTCGGAGCATCGGCGGCGAGGGCCACGGACGGGGACCCTGAAAGGCTTGGATGGGGGCCGGGGTGGAAGACGAAGAGTTCGCGGAAGGTGTCCACTGCAGCAAAGGGGCCGTCCTTCATTCAATTGATGTGGCCAAGGTTAGTCTGCCAGTCTGTATTGGAAAGAGCGAACTGTTCCGCGTATTCTTAGTTCTAAGTTCTAGGTTTTCAATCAGCTTTTAGTGATGTGCAGTGGGTGGTTTTGACATGTTTTGACAATGTCTTAAACCTGCAGCAGGTTTGGTAGGATGGCATTCCCTTTGTTCCTTTTTTCTTCCACCCACCCTTTGGATCCAACACTGGTGAATTCGCTTGGCAGTCTCGCCCCTACGGGGGGCGCTCCGGGTCGGATCGGAGGCTGTTCACCCGCCAACAATCACCAACTCGTCCCACCAACTCGTTTGGGGGCACCCGAGGCTACCAGACGAGGCGCGGAAGAGACTGGAGGCCCGGCGTGAAAGAGACGCCGTCTTCCCCGGTCAGACGTTCCTGGACTTGGGTTATCCCAAGACAGCTTTTTTGAAATAGTCTTGGACTCTATAGGGCTGAGTTGGGCCCCTTTTGATAGAGAGAGGCCTCCAGGTGTTGGAACGGCTAGCTAGTTTCCGGTTGCAAGTCTCTCACGCGTCTCCCTTGTTAACTCTCGTTTCACTGATCAGGAAGCGGGGTGGAAAGGTCAGTGCACCGAACTCACGGAACGTTCCCCAATCCTCGGTCCTCGGTCGTTCGGATTCCGAGAGTCGTTGTTCTTGCGAGGCTGCTAGCCCGAAGGAGCGCAGTGCCAGTTGGAGGTGCGGCCCACGTTCCCGCGGAGCTTCTAAGAAGAGAGCGGCTTCTTCCGGAAGAAGGTGGTTTTATATGAGCCATGGAGTGGGAACACTCCACTAAACAAGAACAGGTGGACAGAGGTTCACCCTAGAAGTCCAGTTCGACTATATTTAGACCGACTGAAGGATCCAGAAAATTCCTTGACTCGGGGTCACCCTTCGGACTGGACCATTCTTGTGATAGTCGACTGGACTCCCAGGGTTCACCCTTACTTTCCAGGACAACTGAGGGAGTCAGGAGCTGCCCAAGATCTTACTGCCAGTCGTGCGTGGCCAGTCTCGGAACCACATCCGAGAGGAGGGGAAGAAAGTCCCTTCGGGGCCAGCATTGGTTGGAGCTTAATCATCCGGGCTGGGGGGGTGGGGAGGTCCGATTCTTAGTCATTTTGGAGAGCCTTGGCGCTTTTGGAAAAGCTGGGGTTTGATTGAGTTTGTTGATTGTGTCTTGGCGAGGCAGATCCACAGCCAGAACAACTTTCACCTTGGCTTCTGCACCTCGAGCCATTTGACATCCTTCTTGATAGGAAAAGGTACTATTTTGGGCGGTTGGTGGTCCAAAATGCATAGACGTCGTCACTCAGGCTCTGGGCATGTTCTGCTGATTTCCTTTTCGCCCTGCACCCTCACCACCCCTCACCCCCCCTCACCACCTCAGTTGGCCTCAGTTGGCTCTCGAGGGTGAAACGAGCTCACCCAAACAGACGGCCATCAACAGTCCTGTGAGGGGCTTCCATGGGCTCTTCATGCTCTTCACGCTTAGCCTTGTCGCCCTCGCGTGATCCGACCAAAAGGTCGCTGCTTTCGCTGGTCGCGAAACACGGGGTCCGCTGGTCGCCGCGGTCGCCGGTGATTTTGGATGACTCTTAAGGGTCAAGGGGCTCCTTAGACGTCCGGTTTGGCACCGCTGAAGGGGAAGGAAGTTCTGGTCACCAAGAGGGGTCACTGAGTCAGACCTTTGGCCCAGAGACCCCGGACCTGGCGATCGGGATCCCTTCGGCATTTGGCATGAGTGGGGCACCTGTTTTCTATTCCACCGACGGTCGTCACGGTTTCAGGGGGTGAGCCTTCATGAACAACGTGTGCGCGCATGTGTGCGCGCGACGTGGACGTGGGGGGACGTCTTGGAGGTTGCGAACTTCAATCCGTAAAACCAGCCCAGATCGGCAGAGCACCAGCCCAGTTCGGCAGAGCCTTCGGCAGAGTTGGAAGGATTCCAGGTACGAGTCAAGCTCAGTCGGGTTCCGGCAGACCTTGAAGATAACCTGGTCTCCCTGTGAAGCTGAACTATCACCCCAAGCCAAACCTGCCCGGTTTTGACCCACTGCCACATGGCATACATCGTCATACACGGAGTGTCTGGGTCATGAGCTACCGGCTAAGAGGCTACACGCCGTGCCATCATGGCTACGTGGAGTGAACATCACATGTTTGGTCATCCAAAATCGGGGCTACGCCATGCAGGTTGGCCGATGGATGGTTCTGACGTGGAGTGTGAAGTTCCCAGACACGACCCATGGGACTGCCGTATATATGCCTACATTGACCCCCCTGGCACCACCCCAACTGATCGGCAGTCCCACGGAGTGTTGGGGGTTGGGATCAGCACTTCCGACGTGGAGCTCTAGGAATCGTCCACCGGGCGGGTTGGCATCCCCCCAAATTCCCCTAAGGCTCCAACCACCTCCTGAGAAGGTGGTTGGAGTGGGTTTGCAGGGTCCAAATACCTTCTGAGGATATGGTTGGAGCCCTAGGGTTCATGAAGTAAATCCTGGGTCCTGGATGCTGCGAAGCCACCGGAGGAGTCTTCCCGCATTCGCAGGAGTCTCTTTGCGAAGCCGTCCGTGCTTCTGCCCGGAACTTCTCCACATAGATTTGATACATGGCACATAGCGGGAGCCCCTCTCTTCCAGCAGTACGTTTGGCTTTGTAGTATTGGCAGAATGGAGCCCGTCAGGGTTTCAGGATTTAGGAGATTCCCTTCTCCCCATGGGGAATGAGTCGCATGATGGGCCTGGTGCCCCGGAACTGTGTTTTGTATTTTGTTCAGGGGTTTGCTGGGAGTGGGTGATGCAAACTGTGGTTCAACCCTAGACACGGCCTGGAATGCAATGTTGGTGGGTTTTGCGCAATGCAATTCTGGAGCTGTTCCCGGCTAAGGTAGACAGTTGATTAATACAACACCGCCAGAAATGGATTTTGGAACCTCTTCAAGTGGTGTTTTTTCGCTCGACAGTCTACAGTAATTAGTCGTTCTCAGTCATGACTCACCGTGAATCACCCGTGAACACTGCCTGCCGCGGTCTGCCTTTTCGGCCTCCAGACCAGAGCGGGTCAAAACTACAGACACGAACTTCTTGAGAGGCTCAAGAGCTCAGTTTGCACACTCGTTTTGAGCGTCTCATCCACTCAAGTGTGAAGTAGCTTCACGGATGTCCAAGCTTCGTTTTGATCCGGCTTGGCCCCGGCTCGCCCCTTGAACGATCGGAAGCGCCAGTGGCGTCTAGGCGATCGGGCACCCTGTATGTAATGTAGGCAGACCTGTTGCAGACCTCTCAATGTCTGTTCCACAGGCGCCCCGGGAGTGTACACCGTGTCCACGGGGCTTCGGGGGCTTCGGAAGAAAGGACCACGCGTTTCCCGCGGTCCGCCATGGGGAACGAGCGCGGTGAAGTGTCTGTCCTTTTCCCAGGCGATGTGTCGATCGGAGGGCGAGCGGGGAAGGGATGTAGGGGAAGCTCCGACGCGATGTTGCGGTCGGTGCTGATCTTGGGTGCCGTTTGGGCACGTGCGGCCAGTGGCCAGTGGTTCAGGGACATCTGGAAGGCACTTTTGCCAATTTTTCTAGCAGCAAAGATGCATTAACAGAAGTCGAGGTGGACACTCCCTCCCCCAAAAGACAGTTCCAAGACCTAGACTTCGACCGGTCGACCGGTCCACCGTTTTAAGGTTGTCTCGGTAGCCTCGGTTGAGAGTTGTCTCGATCCAAAGCTGGGATCTCGACGATCTCGTGGGAGAGGATTCAGCGAGGCAAAGAGAATGACCAGATGCTTCGGGTGAATGGAGGTTTGATGTGTCAATACGGGATGCAGTGCCGCACTGCAAAGAAGATTGGGGGGGCCAAGTGCTAATTGCACCAAGGGGCGTCGCGGCACACCACTGAGACATTGTTGAAGGATATGATATGATTTATTTGTTCGTCTCCGGACTGCATGGTGTTGTTGATGGACTCTTCACGCGGCGTATTCTGAACGCCTCAAATGGGTGACTCTTCGTCGGAGCCCTGAGCCCTTCGTGGTTGATGGACCTGCTCGGTAGCCACCAAGTGGCACCCCTGAATGTGTGTCCTAATCGACACATCTGATTTTTTTCAAGGAACATTCTTCCTCGCCAGATCGGCGTGTCTTTCTAAGCTGCCTGCAAGCCAGAACAGCCACACGGGTGTGTAACGTAGACTCTTGCTTATATTTCACCCCTCACATGAAGAGGATTTCTAATTCAAATGGGAGGGTTTATGTATTCTATCTTGACTTCTCTGGAGCCTGTTGAGCCTGTTGATGCTGATCGTCGGTTTTCTTGCACTCCATCACCATCAGCTTTAATGATAGATTTCCTGTGTGGATGAAAACCATGCGTGTATATTGCCGGAGGACGACACGTGGACAAACACCATGTTGGCAAGGACATTGAAGTTCTCAGGATTCAATGGCTTTCTATAACCCTATGATTGCATGAAGTTGTGAAGGGACACCTGCGAGCCTTTTTACTTTTTGGGGGGTCAGGAAAACGATTAATTACATTGTGTTTGGGTGTGCGAACGGAAGCCAAGACTCGCGCCAGACGACTTTTCGCGCGCCATGAACCGAGCTGCTCAAGAATGATGAGGGGGAAAGAGATGACCATGATGAACATCAACAAACGCATGCCAGGACCCACGGAAGTCAGGGCTATTTCATAGACACCAAACAGGGGGTCCTGGTGATGGAAGTGTACCAGACAGATTGAGTGGTGCACTCATTACTTCGTGGGCCTTATCAACCAAACACCAAAAGGACTTGCGCCTCGGAGTTTGACCTTCCACATCGGCAGACGGCCAGACACAGCGCTGGGCGGATGCATGCGGATGCTCGCCGCGAAGCAGCAGCACTTCAGCCCTCAGCCTACAGTAATATAGGCGGTTTTGGACCAGGATCCCCTGAATTCACATCAGGGGCCTGCTGAACTGACTCCGGGGGGGAACACTCATGCCCGCCCTAGCCTGGTGGGGCACCGGCGAAAAGCCTGTGATCTCATTGCAGTAGATCAAGACAGGTGCAAGACACAGGCCTCACAGAACGACCAAGTCAAGTCTTTAGTTGCATTTGTGCGACTATCCCAGGGTCAACAATCAGACTCCAGCACCAACCCACCCATCAGAACCAACCTCTCCATGCAAACCCTTTGCCACACGGAAGCTGTGACCCCATGGCATGCTGCTCCTTATCGAGCGGTGACCCGGTGACGGTGTGACTCGATGAACTTCTTGGTGGCGGCGGCGAATGGCACCCACGTCTACCGCGCTACACGGATGCAGACGTGTTTTTCTACTATTTTTTAACACCCTAGGGCTCCAACCATATCCTTGGAAGGTATTTGGACCCTCCAAACCCACTCCAACCACCTTCTCAGGAGGTGGGCCAGGAGCCCTATAGGGAAAACAACTCGAGTGGATGATAGGGTACATCCAGCCGAAGATTGCTCCAAGACTAAGATGTAGACTTGCGGGCCGAGGGCATGTAAAATTTACCAGTCGCAGTCGGCAAACGATTATCACGATTTTGGAACCTGGCCTACAACCTAACCATCCAAAGATCCACTGGGCCCTGGTCATAGGATAGACCGATAGACCCGAATGAACCGCTGAACAACCTAGACACCCCAGACCCCGTTGCTGTTTGTGTTTGGAGGCTCTGATTCTGGGGGCACCCGTGACCACCCAGGGTGTGACTGCTTGGGGTGTCCTGGCATGAGGGGGTTTTGATAAAACAAAAGGCCTGGATGTTCATGACCGACCCCCTTACAATGATCTTCATGTGTGGTGAAAAAGGACCTTCGCCAGGCCGGGCGAGTTCGCCAGGCCCTCCCATTCGTCAGACCGTTGTTCGGCGGGTCTGGGACCCGGCCGGCTGACCTGGCCACCACTCGAAGCGTCCACGTGTTCCTGGGATGTGTCGCCCCAGTTGTTAATGGTGGACTCCCAAGGATCCACTGCCCAGACTTCCGGTTCCAGGGGGCCCAGACCCGCGCCAGGACGTTCTGTTGGGCCGGATCAACATGAGCGCAGAGAGGTCAAAGGAGGTGATGGTTTCGTTGGGTTCTTCCATGTTCTTCCGCAAGGGGTCTTATCCTTGGGGGGGGTGCGGGGGGGTGGGCTTTGCAAGCACCTTCCGGTCCTCGGAGCAAAGTTCGAGGTCTTCAGACCGGGACCTGGGTTTCCGGGGGCGTCCGGAGGGGCGTCCAAGCTATAGATGCCTGTTTCGAAGATGGATTGGGGTGGGTGCCACAGGGGCGTCCAACCACCTTACCTGAGGAGAGGGGCCTGGAGGTCTAATTAGGGAGAACGACTTCTGATGCTCCGCCGCGAGGTGGAGCGAGGGCAGCCACGGCCGCTGAAGCAAGCGCTGCCCCGGTCGCTGCCGGGGAACCCCGACTGCCTGGTGCCTCACAGCTGCGGCTGGTTGGCGGCTCGGCTGGGACGGCTTCGGGACCTTCAAGCTGTCATGGTCGTTCCAGTTGGGTCCAATGGATTCGAGAAAAGACAGATCATATTTACATCATGTCCAGCACCCGAAACCTGCCAGGTCTCCACAAAAGCCACTTTGAAGTCTTCACTTCCGCCACCAGAAGATCTGTAGAGTCGGGTGCTGGTTGCTAGATGAACCCTCAGATGTGGAAGCCGACACCGCTTCGACTATATACACTTCTTGGCCTTTTCCGACACAAAGAACTGGTCCCCTTCCTCACCCCTACCGGCCGAGGCGGGCCCGTTGGCACCTCTACCGGCCGAGGCGTGCTTGCAGCCGAATGGTGTGGTCTCCATTTGGGATATGTCTTGGACCCTCGGCGCGCGGCCTGTGCTTGTGAGGCTACAAGGGCTACAAGGCGGTGGGCCCTCGCGCTGGACCATCCTGGACCCAAGTTGGGGCCCCTTTACACAAGCATCCGACTCGACATGTAGGGTTGGGAAGGGCCCTGGTGGAGGTCGAGCCATTGGGTGCTGATACAGGAAATATGGCGAAGAGCTGCGGATTCCTACCCACTGTGGGCTTAGACCAATTGAAACTGGTGGATTGCACTCCCTGAGAGTCCCGTTTGCACTCATGGCATGTGCACAAGCTCGTCACCCTCCCACTAAACCAGCCAGATGTCACAGTCTACTAGCCAGCCCCCCTAACAAATAGCTCGTAATAGCCCCTTAAGATGAACTTCGAGGCGTCCATTCACCCTTGGCGCCCATGTCGCTCGCTCGCCCTTCCTCGACCGCGCCGACCTCGCGCGGTCGCGACCCTCGCGCCGCGCGGTTCGCGACCGAGGAAGGAGGGCGCCCTGCCCTGCGAGGTGCCGCCCCAGGCGGGGCACATCGCGCGCTGCTACTTCTCGAGCCAAGGCCGGGCCCGCGCGGAACGCGACCATCCAAGCCTGCCGAGCGAGGGAGACCGAGAGGGTGAAATGAGGATGGTGACAGGTGACAGGTGTTGGAGGGTGCTGGTATAGACCCATTTAATATACCTATAGAGAGCCTGAGTGACCTGTATGTTTGGACCACCAGCCAGCCAAAATAAGATCTGGCGGGACGGTATGCGACGGTTTTGGGGGGTTTTCTGCGGATGGCCGTGGTGCCCAGACAAAAGAGACACCAACGAGTGCGTTGAAGTCGGCCCACCCATCATCCGTGAGGGTACAGCTTGGTGTGTGCTCGCATCATATGGCCCCGCGGCTCATCCTGGCCGGTTGAAGACCTGAGGCGTCGAACTCTACACGACCTTGGATCACATTGGTTGGGCTGTCATGTGCAGCACGACATGGACCGAATGATAGATTTACATGATTTACTGTAGTCATCCCCTTTGCAAGTACAATGTACGTTCCATTGCAATTATTAATTATTGATGTTTTGTGGAATGAACATGCACCCAATAATTAGCTTAGACCTCCAGTGACGCACATGGACCTACAAACCTCCAGTGAAAACAACACCGGGGCGATTTTCTTTGATTCACTCATGGCCTCCGCTTGGGGGAAGACTTGCTGGACACGAGGTCAAGCAGGAAGCCAAAGAGGAGGTAGGAGAAGGTGAGTCCATGGAGGACTTCTCAAGTGCAACTGACAAGCTCCAAGAGCTGAAGGAAGAGATGCAGGATGCAGCTACCATCGTTGGGCAGGAGGTCAGAGAGGAGGTTGAAGAGGTTGCCACCAACACCGATGCAGTAAAGCCAGCAATCCCTCCCACTGCCAAGCGTCGCCGCCTAGCTCGATGGGACATACAAAGAGAGCAAGCAGCCCAGACTTTGATTGCGGCTTTCGTCAAGACAAGGCTGATGAGCTGCAAAAGGCATTCGTCTCGAAAGTCACGAGGGAGCAAGGCGACGGCACAGCTCCTCGGGGCAGTTCTGCAGGCAGCTTTGCTGAGGGAGTCGAAGGTTTGATGTTTGCCATGGAGCAAGCACCGGAACAGGTGAGGAAGCTGCGCTGGTGCTAAGTCAGATTCCATTGCCCCTATTTGCGGAGGGTGTCAAGGTGCTTCCACTCCTGAGGCTCCCGCAACATCAGCGAAACCCACGCGCTTCCGGAGGAACAACTCGGGAACCAGAGTGGGGTTCCAGGTGTGTGTTGGGGCGGGACTTGCTGGCAGGTCACCTGTCACAAGAAGGGTAAGAGAACCGACCGAACATCTCGAAAGTTCCCCCTCAGCAAGTTCATGAAGGAGGGCCTCACCGAGGCCGAAGCCGACGCGGCCGCGCTGGAGGCGGCCAAGGCCTTCCGCGCCGAGCTGGTGGAACAGGGCGTCCTCAAGGAGCCGAAGCCCGCGGATCTGAATTTCACCAGCGAGGTGCCGGGGGTGAGTTGGACAAAAGCAAGCAAAAAGTGGCATGTGCAGCTCACCCCCATTCCGGGAAGAAGCGGATTCATGGCGGCTGCTTCACCTACTCTCAGCCGCCGCCGAGTCCAAGGCTTTGGAGCTCGCGGTTCGCTCCACGGCTTGGAGCGCAGGGTGTGACGGCCCTGGGGTAGCCGATCTTTGGGGCCGTGGGGTGCCCTACCTCGGGGTGAGCTGGGACAGAGGAGTCAGCAGTGGCATGCGCAGTGCGATATCAACGGAAAGAAGTCGCATTTGATGGTGAAGCCGAAGGACCACCAGCGAGGCCGAGTGGGAGGCGTCCCGCCAAAGACGGCCGTCGCCTGGAGGAAGAAGCAGGAGAAGGAAAGGGTGAAGGCGGCAAAGCCAACGAGTTCAAAGAAATAGTCAAAAAGAGAGTGGATCCGAGCTGTTGGTCTCAGTGACTGGATTTCTCACATCAAGATCAGCAAGGTTCTGGTCTAATTACTTCCCATAGTTTTCGGGGTTTCTTCGGTCATATTTTCTTATTCACATTTGGGAATCTCCACGGCCCACTAGTCATCCAAGGAGTGAATGGCCTGTAAAACCAGTGAAAATCCATCCATTCGATGTGTTGGATCTATACCCATACATACACACGGACCACACACACATAACCACACACACATAATATATATATATATATTATATATAGATATTGGTATACATACCTATATAGAGCCTAGTTGACCTCAGAGAGAGACCATATTTTGGGTAGTCCCAACATCGAGGTCACGCAAAAACCACAAATTCGGAGATCCTATATCTTTTGACTTCCCCCCCCCTCCTCTGAGTTCTTCTGCCTCCGCGCCGCATGACTGGCTCCAGGTTCGTTCCTGGTCACGTGGGAGCACATGACCGCGCTGCGGCAGGAGGCCAAGGGTGAAGGGCCGCTGGGGCTGTCAAAAGGGGGGGCGCATCGCACCAACCATGGCCGGAACTAGGAGTAGCAACCCAGGAGCCCACCTGAAGGTAGAGGCACGCTGTTCCAGCGTGTTGGAAGATCCGACGTGTTCGTCGACCGGAGCATTTTAGTGGGGGAACATTCTGGAGAAGATCGTCATGACAGATCTATCTAGCTGGTGGTGAGCAGGGATCTCAGGAGTTTAAGGGGGGGCAGCAGGGGAGTCACTGGGCACCGGGTGTTCTGCAAGCACTTAGTGAGTTGAGCGGGGAACTCGAACTCACCGAAAAACCCAGCTCAACACGGCGAGAAGCCACCTTTTGTGAACCTGGAATGAAGCAGCCGCCATCTCAGAAGTGATCACGAATGCACCGGCACATGTCCGATCCATTCTGTTGGGGCACAAAAAAACCTCCAGCAGATGGCTCAGTGCATGAGCCAAGAATCCAAGGATGCCAAAACTCAAAACTTCTCACCCTAGAAGTCCAGTTCGACGAATCTTTGGCGAAGGCACTTCATGGCACTTCTGGGACTCGGATGTGGCCGACCGAATCAGACCACGCGGTTTAAGCCATTTCGTCGATTCATGTCTTCTTCCACCTCGCTCGGGGCGGGGCTCGCTCTGGGCGACCCTCACGGGCCAATTCACCGACACAAATACGACCTCCCTCCACTCTCCACGCTCAAGACCGAGGCGAGGTCGCGGCAAAGGCTTCGGCCGCGCGGAGAACCTGAGCGTTTGGTCCCTGACGCGGCGGCCGGCGGGGCCTGAGGCGCGGACGGATGGACCGGAGGCGCAGGTGACCTCCGGTCATGGCAGGAGCGCGGTGGCCCGGTTTCTCCCTCACGGAGGTCATGAACAGAACAGACTGGTCAAGTTACAAGTTACAAGGGATTGGGGTTCCGGGTTTGGACCCACAGCCACATCACGTGGAAGTGGATGGCGCCATCCTGTTGGTGCCAGGGCCCACGGAAGTTGGGTGGTTCATGGACACCTCTTAACCTCTAACGGGAGGGCCTTGTAACATCTTGTAACGACCTTGTTGGAGAAAAAGGGTCAGCTAACTTGCCATGCCATCCTTGCACCGGAACAGAAGGAGCCTTCTTTTTGCGGAACATGGCCTTCCTCTACGAGCACTGGAATGTTGAGAACCAGAGGGGTACTTCTCCCGATCTTCTTCGAGGCTCTAGGTTCCAAAACTGCCACCCAAACCCAACTGGTAACACTCAACTGCCAAGGCAGTGCGTTTAGGACACCTCGAATTGGAAGAGTGCAGAATTAAAGGAGGTCACTCACGGGGAAACGAGGTTCATTCTGGTCATTTGGATTTCGAGGCTTTCGTCCTCTTTTCTCCTTTTCCGGAAGCCGCGGCACGCACGCGAGACTGACGTGTTTCAGGTCTTTGAGGTGCAGATTGAGAAGGGCGAGGGCAAGTCGCTTGACCTGAGGAAGATCTTCACCATTCGGGTTTGGCCTTTGCCACTTCAGCAACCAATCCACCAAGCAGTTTCCACTCCCTTCACCTCATCGGCACACTGGACCTTCAAAGCTTCAAATAAGGGAAGACATTGTCTTGGTGCGGAAGGATGAGAAGCACCTAAATGAACCAAAGTCAAGTGGAGCCCCTCAACCATCCCCAGAACCCTGAAACATCCCCAGAGCCAAATAAGATCTCAATGAAACATGACGTAAGCTCCAAATCCGCACCGCCCCACCGATGTGGCGCACATGCCCCATGCCGATGTGGGCGCCCTTGTTCCAGTGAGTCTTCATCGGGCGTTCGGTTTTGGCCCCCGATATCGGTCGGGCGAGCCGGGCGGGCCGAATCTGGATTTCTTCCCAATTCCCGGTGGCGGCAGGTGCGAGTAGTCGCCAGTACACTGGAATCATCGCATGGAAGTGGATGGCATGGCCTGGCATGGCCCCTTGGTAACCTGGTTTTCCACTTCCATGATTCTGGAGAGTCTAGCTTATTCCGAAGAATCCTGAACGTAGACTGGCCGGACATGACCTGTTTGTAGAGGACCAAGGGCCGAAAACGATCTATGCTGAAACATGTGACGGAAGGGCTTTACCGTCCCTGAAATCATCATGGCTGACGTGGAGTGAACACCACCTGTGTGGTGTTTCACCACCTGTTTGGTGTTCGGATTTCATGATGAAATCGGAGCCATTTGCCCGCTTCCACCATGATTTCAAGGAGTGTATAGAACCCCTGGCATTACCATGGCAAGTGGAACATGGCCCCGAAAGGAAGAACCATGTTCCTCGACCAACAGGGGGGGCGATTCTCCATCTTCCTTTGAGTTCCAACCGAAGTGGGCGATCCGCGGCGACTGCTAAGCGCTTCGGGCTTCTCCGACTCGGCCTGGTCGGCCTGGGCGTTGGGTCGTGAGGTTGGGCATCAACGTGGACCTTTTGGATGGCCGCTCCGGCCTGCTGCTTCGCCGCGTGGACGCCGGACTCCTGCAGCGCCACAACGTCGCGCGTTCCGCGCAGCATGCCGCGCAGAGCGCGCATGCCGCGCGCGGCAGTTCGGGGGACGCGGGGAGTGCGGCGCAGCAGATGGTGTTGCCGGGAGATCAGGTCATAGGCCTGGTGAGGGGCCAGGGGAGGGGAGACACAAGAGATGGTGTTCTGAATTGGGTAGGGGCGAAGGCCACTTAGAGCGCTTAGAGACTGCAAAGAGGTCATCCTAGAAGCCCGGGTGTGTTCGTTTCCATTTGCTTGGTTCAGCAGTCTTATGCCCACTTGAGGGTGCATCTCAAAATCTCAAACTTGAAGACACCTTAATTAAACATCATTGGAAGAAAGGATAGCAGAAACGCATCTTCCAGCATTCCATCTCAGGGTGCCTTTGAGTCTCGCTTTGTCCCTGGAAAGAATGGTTACCGTACCTCCATCCTCCATGAACTACCTGACTCCTGCATCATCCCACCTCATCACTTATATAATGTATGTGTATATAAAAATACAATACACACACACACTACACAGATATTGGTTTTGTTACATACATACATACATACATACATACATACATGCCTTTCAGCAGGACCAGGGCAATTTGAGAACAGGGCAAGAGCCTCGCCAAGTCCAACACCTCCTGCCACGGCCATGAAACCCAGCCAAACCGCAGGATCGCTCTCAGAGGCTGCCCAATACACCGAACAGGCATCATTCGCCCCAGCTGGACAAGCCACAGACTCCAGCGCGGAGCCAGAAACAGGCGAAGAAGAAGAAGTCCACGAGCAGGATGAGCTCATGGTCGACTACTTCTAGGGCTCCAACGGCGGCCAGCTCCGGCGTAGACATGCCAAAGGCATTGAGACTCAGCGGAGAGCAAAAGCACCTTTAGGATAAACAATGCATACATACATATACACACATACATACATACAGGCATACAGACAGACATACAGACATACACGCATACACACATACACATGCATGCATGCATCCATCCATCCATACATGCATGCATGAATGTATGCATACATACATGCAAGTGAGCTCACACTCACTCTCGCACTCTCTCACCCTCACTCACACTGACACTCTCTCACTCACTCTCACTCACACTCTCTCACTCACACTCACACTCATACTCACACTGGCCCACCCACTCTCACTCTCACACTCACTTTCACTCTCACTCCCACCCTCTCACTCCCACTCACGCTCTCACACTCACCCACACCCACCCACACTCACACTCACACTCACACTCACACTCACACTCACACTCTCACTCTCACTCTCACTCTCACTCTCACTCTCACTCTCACTC